CACTCACACGAAGTTTGCTAGGCTCCGTGGAACTTGCGCGCAGGGAAGGGTATGTCGAGGGATCAGGCGGTGACGGGGAGAGGCGAGAGGCTGATCAGACCCCTATAGCCTTCTTAAGGTACACGCACTGGGTCCGATAGGCTCCGCAGTGCTTAGAGATCTTCATGAAATGTGAAGCCCTCCTCTTTCTCTTTTTCTCTCTCCAGATGGTTGTGGAGTTCTCCAACTTGGGCGGAAACCGCTCAAGCCTCTTATACGGCTAGCAGGCCAATCACTAGCCACCATGTGGGAATAATTTAGAACTGGCCAATAGTGGGACACAAATTTGAATACGAATGGTGGGAACTCCTTGCACCGTGCATTTCTCTTTTGCAACCTAGAAATGCACCCTGCAAAGAAAGCTACGAGTGGCGGGAAATAATTTAGCAGTGCCGAAGCGCACACAAACAAAATCACACCCTTGGGTTGTGACAGGGGGCACAGGGTGGTGTCAGGTGGTGGAGACAGTTGCGCAGATAGGGAGGTCTGGCAGAAGAATTAGCAGTAGGGGTGTGGGGGTCTTGTGGTGACAGTGGGAGGGTCCTTCCCTTAGTATTCTAGCCTCCAACACCAATCCTCCAAACTTCCTTTCTCTCCCTCCCACTTGAGAGGAGAGGTAAAAGGGGGTTGGAGCCTGGAGAGCTGGAATCACAGCTCTTGTGCCAGGTTCATGGGGGTCCCATGTGGCATAAGGGTGTGGGGTCCTGCCATGCCTGGAATACCCCAACAGCTAGGGAAGTACAAGTGCCTCAAGTACTACCAGCTCAATCAGTTTTGATGCTGTTGGTGCCACTGCTCCAGGTGCTTTGTTGGGGACAGCAGTGGCCAAGGTGCATCAGTTTGGTTGCTGAGCAGTCTAGGAAGCTGTCAGTCAGTTTGCTAGATAGTTCACCCCACTCTCTCTCCCTTTTCCATGAAGAGGATAGATCAGAGCACTCTGGGATTCTGGGGGTCTCTGTCCCTGTGAAGAGGTAACACAAACGTGAAATGCTTCCAGGAAGTACTTCCTTCCAAGAGGTACCTTTTTTGGAATGTTTTGGCTGCTTTTGGAATGCTTCAGAGGGCATGTACATTTGTACAGCTGCCCCTTTAAAGCATTTCAAAGGTATGCGGAACACTTCAAAAGATACATCTGTCCACGTCCTTACACTGGTGTGTGTCTGTGTCTTCAGCTTATCCTGGAGTATCTGGTATCTCTAAAGAAACATGTTTAAACTAGGTGCATTAGGGGATGGGTGTGCAAGC